CGTAACAACGGCGTTCCTAAACGGTGTTCTCCAGGAAAAAGTGTACATGCGTGTTCCAGAGGGGGTAAGCAGTCAACCGAATGAAGCATGCTTGTTGAAGAAATCGCTATACGGTCTCAAGCAATCACCTCGCTGTTGGAACGGTCGCTCTAATGAAGTTCTGGTGAGCATGGGAATTCGTCGTTCCCGACACGACTACTGCGTATATGTGCGTGGACAAGGAAATCAAATCGCTTACATCGTTATTTATGTGGACGATTTGCTCGTGGTTACGGGCGATCTGCGCATTATTGAGGAGATTCAAGATCGATTGAAACGAGAATTTGAAATGACGGATTTGAACAAACTACATCACTTTTTGGACATCAAGATAGAACGTGACGAGGAAGGTACTATGTATTTGTCTCAAGAAGCACGAAAAATACTAATACGTTTCGGAATGGACGGCTGTAAACCTGCCCACACACCCGCTGAAACTAAGTTGCAGCTTCGAAAGACCACTGAAGGATGCAACTATCCGTATCGAGAACTGGTTGGCAGTCTTATGTTCCTGATGCTGGGCTCAAGACCAGGCCTGTGCTACGTTGTGGGCTATCTGGCAAGATTCCAAGATGCTGCAGGAGAGGAAACCTGAAGCATGCCAAACGAGTACTGCGTTATCTTCAAGCGACAAAAGACCTAAGGCTGATCTTTAAGAGGAACCCGCATGAACGACCGGTCGCTGTGTTTGTTGATGCTGACTATGCAGGTGACGAGGAGGATCGTAAGTGTGTTTCTGGATTCCTGATTGAGGTATTTTGATGTACTGTCGTGTGGTCGTCCAAGAAGCAGCGCACGGTAGCAATGTCATCCACAGAAGCTGAGTACATCGCATTGAGCTCATCTGTTAGCGAAACGATTTGGCTTACTGGACTGCTATCCGATTTGTGTGAATCAAACTTGTATCCTGTACCAATCTACGAGGACAACCAAGGCGCTATAGCTATGGCAGAGAAGGAGGAAACGAAACGTGTCAAGCATATAGATGTCAAGTTTCATTTTATTCGAGAAGCGGTTGCAGACGGAAAGGTGAACCTTGTATATGTACCAACCCAGAAGCAAGAAGCGGACTTTCTTACAAAGTCATTTCCAGCCCCGGCTTTAACACTTTTGAGAACGAATATAGGATTTAAGAACTGTAGTTAAGAACTTGTTTACCCGCTATCATAAAACTTTATGTAGTATTAAACCAGACTTCCTACTGAACACACGTCTTTCTCTAGAGTTTCAAGAGGTGATAGAAGGTCTGCTTGGCTTACATGAGGCATTGACCATTCACAAACTTGCCACCCCCCACCCAAAAAAGCTCGCTTTTAGGTGCACTATTTAACGAGTTTTGTTATGGTAGTGTTATCGACATGCTTAGAAATCAATGCATTAGGGATTAGGCAGACCATCAGAACTGAATTTAACCCTTTTCGAAGCAAACCAAGGTCGAAGATTTAATTGAACCACACTATAAAATAGTGTCTTCATGGTCACTTGTGGTCTGAAGTAAAGAAGTGCAGCTATAATGTGACCATTAAAATCTATAAAAATCTAAACGCATTTTTTTAAATTATTTACACCTGTGTCGTGCACAGGTTGCACATGTGGACGCGACGCCACTGAGTTAAGGGGGGACAGGGGTATCAGAAGTTGTGATCGACCATGTATTAAGTATATATCAAAACACGCTACGAGGGGGAAGGGGTGTTAATTGGTCAAACAAATCTACGTCATTTATGGATGGTGCCTTATTTTACTTCTAAGGCTGTGACCCAATAGGCGCGTTAAATTTAACTCATTATTAAAAGTGACAGATGAGTTATCGGGCTTGCTATCCGAGCGTGGTTATTTCTGACCAACTAGAAGTTAAATTTTGGCAACCGTGGCTGAGTTCTGTTTGAAAACCGATCAATTTTCGAAAATTGAAAATAGCTTACGAAATGTCACATTTAACCACGAGTTAAATTTAACTCGGCAATTGGGAGTATTTCTCGAAAACTGGTAGCTCACTCACGCATGCTAACACTACCATCAGATAGGGGAAATTTTTCCCTACCTGATATAGTGGTGTAAGTATGCGTGGGCGAGCTATTAGTTACGCCAAATCAACGTTGTTTAAAAGCTGTTATGTCCTTTTGAAAAAGTAATCGAGATTTGTAGAACGCGGGATCGTTATCACTCAGACAAGGAGGTTGATTCATTTCGGAGCGCTTGCGCCATCAAGGCAACGGCGCTGCCAGCAGCCAGTGATCTCGACGGGAACGACGCGCAAGGTTCGAGGTGGAAAGCTCGAACGCTACGCGCTTGACATGAACGTGCTGCTCACCCACCGACCGAAGCGAAAATGAGTTAAGGCAGTAGTAGTCAAATTTACCTTTATTTGCTGGTTTTTTAAGTTTCAACATTTGGTTTTACATTTCAATTGGTTAGCCTTTGGCTCTTCATCTTTGTTCTACTTAATTAGTTATTCTAATGTGATGGTTGCGTTTAGCGCCAATTTACAGGATACCCTTTTAGGGGCTTGTTTTCGTTTGAATTTAAAAATTTGATAACCTACCTCCTTGAGCACAGGAACCTACCTAACTACTTAAACTAGGTTGCCAAATCACGATGATCTGGTGGTTTGATCGCAGAAAGGCAACTCTGAACCTTTCCAGCTTGGACGTCTTTCGCTCCTCGAGTGTTTGAAGACCGGCCAGGTGGTGAATCTCAGAATTACGAGTTCGCGGTGGACTGTTAAGGATCATTCTGAGGATCTTATTTTGGATCGTCTGAAGCTTTAGGTGGTGGCACTTGGCACAACTCTCCCAGATTGGCATACCATACTCAATAGCCGGCAGAATGATCTGCTTGTGGACAGCAAGCTTATTTTTGAGGGACAGGGTGGGCTTCCTGTTTATCAGAGGGTAGAGCGACCTGATCAAGATGGTGGATGCCTTGTCCACATGGGATCGGAGTAGCAATTTGCTATCGAAGGTGAGACCAAGGTAGACTACTTCACTCGACCATTCAATGCACGTGGAACAAACCGAGGTGAATTCGAGTGTGGAAACAGAATGGTTTGTGTTTTAGCTGCATTGATACAAATCTTCCAGGCCTGATTGTAGTTTAGTGCCAGAGCACGGTTACCCTTATAGATGATGGAGGCGTCATCTGTGAACATTGACAGGCTACCACCACCCGGCAGGGGAGGAACGTCTGATGTGAAAATGATGAATAGGATAGGCCCAAGCAGGCTACCCTGAGGTACCCCTGCATCAACGTTGAACGTATCAGAGGGGACATTGTTCAAGTAGACCTGCAATGAGCTGCCCGAGAAGTAGTTTTTGATGATCTTCACAAGATAGATCGGAAAGTTGTATCGATGCCGCTTGTACACTAGACCATCATACCAGACATTGTCGAACGCCTTTTCGACGTCCAACAATGCCATGGCAGATGTATTGGAAACGGAATTGTTCCGCTTGATGATGTTAGTAACCCGTACGAGTTGGTGGATGGTAGAGTGGCCTTTCCTAGACCCGAATTGCTCTTTGAGAAAGATGTTATTATCATTTGAAAACAACAGCAGACGGCTGAGTATCAACTTTTCGAATAGCTTCGAGATGGAGCACAAGAGGCTGATGGGGCGATAGCTTTTGGCACTGGTAGAATCTTTGCCAGGCTTGCGTATTGGAATCATTTTTGCTAACTTCCGGCATGCAGGGAAGTAGCCAAGCTCCAAACATTTGTTGAAGATAACGGTAAGATGGTTGAAGAGTCAATACTCAAGTTTTTCAACTCGAGGTTGACTACACCATCCATACCCGCGGCCTTCATGTTTTTAGTGCTTCTAACAGCTGCTATCACCTCATCAACCGATATTCTACTGTCATCATGCACTACTACGGGGGTGGCAGCGACTCTAGTCATTGCCGCCAGTACGGCAGGCCCATGGGGGCTCACCATGGTTTGGCCAAGATTATGTGAAATCACAAAATGTTGGCCAAGAGCATTGTCCTTTTCAACTGGAGTTATGAGTAGGAATAGGTCCGAGTTCTGGTCAACAGAGGAAAGTGGAGGGACTTATTTTTCAATTTTTTGGTCATCTTCCAAAATGGTTTTGCACAATCTGGGAGAGGGCGAATCTTGTTGGCAAAATCGTTATTTCTGAGATCCACCATCCTGGCCTGGATAATTTTGGTTAGCCTATTTACATTGGTTTTCAAATGGGGCAGCCCAGAACGCTGTAACTGCCTACGAATGGTGTTACGGAGCCTGATAAGATCTTTGGTTGGGCTGTCAAGGTTCAGCGTATGACTCACCTGTCTGGATGCTGGTACGTGTCGCTTCCTGGCACGGGATATCACCTCTTCAATGGCTTGCAGACACTGATCGACTCCTTCGTACGACTCCGGTAGGACGTCGTAGTCGATTGCTGTGTCCACACAGCGCTGGTATTGCTGCCAGTTGACACGATGGTAATTTCGCCGGGAAACTTGAAACCTATTGGCCGAGGAACCTACTTGAGAGATGTTATCGCCAATGTTGCTGATGAAGATGTCGATGGTGGCATGAGCTCCGGATCGACTCAACCGGATGGGAGGCTTGATGCTTGGCGTTCAGGTCGCCAGCGATGATGAAATTTTGTCGTGTTAGCTTGATGATGTCTCTGTGAGTTAAGGCACAAAAGCAGCGCTGTTTTATAACTTTCCAGATTCAAGCAGCACGATGTTCAACCAAATGGTTCTATGACGACTGGGTTTGGAGAGAACGTTTACTTCATGAAAACAGTGATAAAATTATCTCTTGATGGTTAGAAAGAACCGGAACAGCAAAGTTTAAAAGTAGAATGGATTTTATTTAACGACTAGCTTGAGTGGAGTCTTGAACAGGAATGAAAAGTTTTTCACCGTTGTTTATTTAAGAAAACTTAGGTTGCTAGGGGTGACGTTCTTTCTCCAAGGAGGTGATCAGCACACTGCGTTACCGATTTACTCCAACACCCCCCCTGAATCGGTCAGTCCTAGGAGGGTCCTCAGTTCGCGGAAACGTCCAGGTTCCAGGGGCTTGGTGAACGTGTCCGCTATTTGGTTTGCTGTATCAATTGCTTCGATTTGAAGTCTTCCTTGTGCCACATGGTCGCGCAAAAAATGGTGCTTTACATAGATGTGCTTGACACGCTTGCTTTCGGTGTTTGTGGCCATTGCAATGCACCCACGGTTGTCTTCGTACACCTTGAATGCCGTGTCCGGTCGAACTTGCTTCAGGTCTTCAAGGATTCCGTGCAGCCACAGCCCTTCGGAGGCCGCGGCACTTAAAGCTGCATACTCGGCTTCACACGACGACAGTGCAACGGTTTGTTGCTTGCGGCTTGCCCAAGACACGGTGTTCCCAAAGACCTTAAAGACGAAGCCACTAACGGATTTCCTATCCTCAGCATCCGACGCCCAGTCAGCGTCTGCGTACCCAACAAGTGCCTCGGCGTCGTCGTTTTGCTTGTACTGGAGCTTCAAGTTCTTCGTCCCCTTCACGTAACGGACCACTCTCTTCAGGGCTTGCCAGTGGGCCTCATCAGGTTGAACTTGGAAGCGCCCTAGGTATCCAACAGCGTAGCATATGTCCGGTCGAACACACAGCATCGTATAAAGGGTGATACGGTCAAAATTTGGTCAAGGGAAAACGCGTGTAAATCGGTGAAATCGTTTATTTAAAAAATCAAATTAAATTTCTTTTTCAAGTTCAATTAGTATAAAATTCAGGAAAAATATTCAGTTAGGCTTCCGCTTTTCCAAATCCGAATTGCCGGGCCTTACGCTTGACCCCTGCCATCAGATTTTGTACAGCCACCTTGTCCACCTTCTTCGCCGCAGAAAGCCAGTTTGCCTTGAACTGCTGCTCGCCCTTAGCAGTTTTTTTGGTCTTCTTTAGGTTCCGCTTGACAATAGCCCAGTATTTCTCAATTGGGCGGAGCTCTGGCGTGTTGGGAGGGTTCTTGTCCTTGGGAACCACCTGCACGTTGTTGGCGGCGTACCACTCCATGGCCTTTTTACCGTAATGGCAAGATGCCAAATCCGGCCAAAACAGTACGGAACAACCGTGTTTCTTCAGGAAAGGCAGCAGACGTTTATTCAAACACTCTTTCACGTAAATTTCTTGGTTGACAGTCCCGGAAGCTATGAAAATGCTGCTTTTCAAGCCACAGGTACAGATGGCTTGCCAAACCAGATATTTCTTTGCGAACTTTGACAGTTTCATGTGCTTGAAAACATCTGCTACCTTTCCCCTTCCTTTTGCCGTATAAAACTCCTGTCCCGGAAGCTGCTTGTAGTCGGCTTTGACGTAGGTTTCGTCGTCCATTACCACGCAGTCAAACTTTGTCAGCATCGTCGTGTACAGCCTCCGGGATCGCGCTTTGGCCGTCGTATTTTGTTTATCATCGCGATTTGGAGTCACTACCTTCTTGTAAGTCGATAGTCCGGCTCGTTTTTTGGCTCGATGCACGGTTGTAGACGATACACCCAGCTTATTTGCGGCATCTCGGAGAGAGAGGTTAGGGTTTCGCTTGAAACTACCGGCAACTCTCTTTGTCGTCTCAGTGGCTTCCGGTTTTCGATTTTCCCCCGATCCAGACTTCCTGGCTGTCGACAAACGTTCCCCAAACACTTTAATTACATTTGTAACGGTTGATTTGACAACTTTTAGCGATTTTGCCAACTTTGCGTGCGAGAAGCTCGGATTTTCGCGATGCGCGAGCAAAATTTTGATACGCTGCTCTTCTTGCTTGGACGGCATTTTGACAACTGAAGAGTGAATTCCAAAATCAAAATAGGAGCAACATTCTACACACACACACCTTCAAAATGAGGGGTGTTCAGGTTTTTTAAATGCAAAATTGAAAGAAATACGTCAAGTTGATATTGACCAAATTTTGACCGTATCACCCTTTAGTTAGGTAGGTTCCGATTCTGCACGTTGTAAATTCATTTTGATACCTGTGATTTTAAAAGTCTTTAGTGGGAATGACACTGATGAAGATTGCACATTGTAGTCGAAATACGTATCTGTCATGGATAGCAAAATTAATTAAGTGGAATAAGATGGACAATAACCTTCTTTGGCTGTTCAAAGTTTAAAAAAAATCTGATCTTCCGAAGGACCGGCATATGGCAATGATAGGCCCAAATTACTAATTGTACATAACACATTAGTATTAAAGCCAAGTAGATCACGCATTTGAAGAAAAAAAATGAGTTTTATGAATTTATCGCTTTTAAGGATGTTCCATATTATCCAATGGTCCAGCATGTAGCTATGGGAGGCCTAAATGTTAGTTACACATCGTAAATAATTGTCGAATCACAGTAGATTATATTATGAAAAATAAACGTTGCAACTATGAATCGATTGTCATGAAATGGTAAATCCAACAAGGGGCTAGGATACGCGGTTACAACCAATCCAGACGTGGGCAGATCATCATTGACGTAGAAACAGCGATTACCAAGACGCTTCCAATAACATCACAGAATACGGTTAGGACTATCACATCGAGCATAATCAAGGACGGACAGGAACAAAGTCGCGCGAACGAAAAAGAAATTCAGATTGTAAAGGAGCTAAAAAGTAAAGCAGTATACTACGTGAAAGCAATCAGATGACAACGAAGATTAACAACGGACCGTATAGACAGCTTCGAGTAAACCCCTTACAGAACATAGTGAAACGCGCGGAGAAAGCACTGAAGGAGTGCAAATCGATATTAGGAGATGGAGCAGGTCGTTTACGGGAACCCAATCCCATTCTACCCAGGATCAAAGGTCTCCCCAAAGTCCACAAACCAGGAAATGAAATGCGAGAGATCGTGTCTGCAGTTGGTTCCCCCACCCACAAACTAGCGAAGTGGCTAGTCAAAGAGTTCCAGAGTATGCCGAATCAGTTCCAGAGTAAAGCAGTTAGTAACACCCAGGAGTTCGCCCAGCAACTACAATCTTCAGGAGACATCAATGAGGATGAGATTATGGTATCTTTCGACGTCACAGCTCTTTTTCCCAGCGTACCGGTCAAGGAAGCGATCAACCATTTGGAGGACTGGCTGTCAACACAACGAGAGGATGCAGCATGGAGAAACAAGGTTCGGACGTACCTTAAGCTGATCCGCCTTTGTATGGAAGAGAACTACTTCTCTTTCCGAGGTAACTTCTACAAGCAGACGAAAGGAGCCCCAATGGGAAACCCCCTATCCCCCTTCTTGTGTGAACTTTTCATGGCCAACTTGGAGACGATCCTGAAGGAGAAAGGACTATTACCAAACCGTTGGTGGAGGTTTGTTGACGATATCTTCAGCGTAGTTAAACGGGAAGCCCTTCCACAAATTTTAGATGAGATCAACAGAATTCACAAGGATATCAAATTCACTCACGAGGTAGAAAAAGACGGGAAACTCGCATTTCTCGATCTTCTAGTCATCAGGGAATCGTCATCATCTTCCTCGCTTGATTACGAAATTTACAGGAAACCAACAAGCACCAAAAGAGTTATCCCCTATACTTCCAACCATTCGTTCCAGCAGAAAATGGCCGCCTTTCACCACATGATTCACCGAATGCAGACTCTTCCACTCAGCGATACAGAAAAGGTTAAGGAATCACAGTACATCTTCGAAACAGCAAGACTCAACGGATACAAGGAGACCACAATCCAGGCAATCATCGCTAAAAAATCGATACAAAGGAGATTATTTACAACCCTCACCGCAGCACCTGAACCATTGAAACGAGTGTCCATTCCATTTGATGTAAGCTAAGACCACTGTTAAAACAATTCGGATTAGATTTAGTTTTCACCAGTAGACATAACCAGTTGAAATCATTGTTAGGATCCACTAAAGACCCAGTTAATGTTTTAGGTAAAGCAGGTGTATATCAAATAAGCTGTAATCATTGTAACAAAGTATATGTAGGACAAACCAAGAGAACTTTAGCAACTAGGTTTAAAGAACATATAGTGGAGGTTAATAAGGCCAAAAAGCCAGAGGAAAAAAAAGGCCTAACATATGATTTCAAATCAAAGGTTGCAGAACACATCTTCACAGAGGACCACCAACTATCGACGGAGGACATCACGATTTTACGAACCGTATCTACAGCATGGAAGCCTCGAGATCAACAAACAACGTAATTCAACTTTACTCAACAGGGATCAACGAAACGGACACACATGGCTTTTCAAGTTACTACCTAGGACACATCAACGAGTAAGCAGCAGAGTACCTGTTCCTATAGAAAATTAAATTTAAGTTTACCTAGTTTCTAAGTGAAAATGTACCTGTGTTAATATATATTCGGTAAATGCGATGTTTTTCTTCAGTCGAGTATTAGTACAAGACACTGAAGAAGTCTGCACATTGTAGACGAAATACGCGTATCTGTCAAGGATAAGTAAATAAAGTAGTGGAATTAAATGGAAAATACTAATCCTTCTCTCTCTCATTATGAAATGGTAATTTTTACGGATGTTCCGGATCTACATAAATAAATTATGAAGCAAAGAAGAATACCTACGTTTGGACAAAAGATTGTGAAGCTAACGAATGAGTCATTTGAATTTAATCTTCTATAGATGTTCCGAATCTTCTGGGGGATTGGCATTTGGCCGCCGAAGAAGAAGACTGGCAACTCTTCCATTTTCTCATACGAACGCTATGAGATAGGTAGAATCCCATCATCTGCCGCTCAAAGGTAAATGCTTCGAGCGAATTTGATAGCAAAGATTACATCCTCAGAAGAAAGGTTTGTGTATTTGCTAATTTTTCTATGCGTTGCTTACACCTTTGCTCAAGTGCAGTGCAACTGTATCTGTCGCTTGGATTCTGGCAAAGTTGCCAGTCTTCTTGATATGATGTCTTCGATTTGGCCTAATCGCTGGTGGCATGCAATTTGTACATTATTGTTGAAGCATAGTAGTAAACATTTTGATAGTAAAAAATCGTGAAACTAAAATAAGAGTTTCATTAAATGGTAAATTTTACGGATATACCGGATCTTCCGGAGGACCGGCATGTGGCCATGAGAAGTCCAGCACATTGTAAATTACTTTTGAAACACAGTAGTAAACTATTGAAAAAAAAAATCGCGGGGCTTCAGAATGAGTTTCATGACTTGACCACCTTTAAGGATGTTCCGGATCTTCCCCAGGACCAGTGTATGACCCCCATATGGGAAAATAATGGTTTGGCAGTACCATATCGGTCTAGTCATAGTTCAATGGTCAACTTTGGAGTTAATTTTTAGAGTAATTTCATCTCAGATTAGCCATTTTCCATTCACTCGGATTGCAGCCGGTTCCGAGCCGGTTCCAGACGCCATGGAATGGCAAAATGGAGTACGTATCTTGCCATTCGTGCAAGTAGAATGAGAATCTATTAAAAATTATCGTTTTATAGCAATAACAATCTTTGGTCCAACAAGGGCGAGGGCATATAGTCCAACACTGAGCTGTCAGAGGACAGCTCAAACAGAAAGAAGAAGAAGAAGAACAAGGGCGAGAATGCGACTTTTCTTTTAGCAGCCATAACATGCACCTCAAATTCTGAAACTTTACCCGAAGATTCAACTTTAAAAGTTGGGAAAAATCACAAAAT